CTTCCCAGGAGTCCCAGAATCCAGCCTAGTCAGCCAGAAAGAGTTCTTTCCTTCTAAGGCCAAAGCAAGCCTTTCAAGTATACCAAGTTTATGAAAACATAGACGAATCCAGTAAAGCAGTCTTTAGGGGGGAGCTCAAAGAATAAAATTTAAAGTGTTTGTTGCATTCTGTTGAATGGTGGGGTAAAGCTAACAACTGACAGGGCTGCCTGGTCATCAAGAGATTGAGATGGAAAAACAGGGCCCCAAATGTTAATTGCTCATGTCATTTAAATTGCTATGATTCAGTTTACACTATCTTACACAGCTCCTCGGCTTTGATTAGATTTCTGCCAAGTGCTCTGAGACTCTTGTTTGATAAGTGTTATAAAGGTACAGTATGTGCATACTGAACATGGACACCATTTTTATGCAGAAACATTCCTCTATTGCCTTGTCTCGTTTTGGCTGCTTAGCTCTATTTATTAAAACACAGAAAAAAGAAAGGGAAAAAGTAGGATAAAAATATATGCACATTTTCCTTGAATATTTCTGCTTTGTCAGAGGTAACTTTCCAACTTTCTCAAAAAGAGATCCTGCTGTTGCACTTTAAAGAGCACTTGGAAATATAGAGCTACTACTTTTATAACAGAACAATTTTTAGGGATTTAAGCTTATTGTGAAGGTTTTGTAGCATATTCTGGGTTAAATGGCCAGCATGGAAACTATACAACAAAACTTCATAAAATTATGACATGAAACCCACTGTATTATTTCTGTAAATAAAAAATGTATGTACTCATAGGGAAATACACCACTGTCCCACGATCTTTCCCAGATAAGGCCTTTCCTTCCCACCGGCGGCTGACATTAATGAATTGTATTACTGTAGCATTTATTCATGCAGGTACCTGGGGCTGCACACAGCCTTGCCACACAGGGAGAACTTTGCGGCAAAGACTGCACAGGGCTTGCTGGCAGGAGGCTCCAGCTGGAGAGTCGGCCAGCTGGCAGGGAGCGATTCGTGAAGCCGCCATACCTGCACAGCACCCAGCTGCAAACCCCATCCCCGAGCTGCTCTGCACTGGTGGCGGAGCCGGGCCGCCCGTGGGTTACTGCAGGGGAAGCCACACAAGGAGGGTCAGCCCCTGCTTCCCTTCGCGGCAGGACTGATTTCTCCTACGTGTGAGCGTGTATAGACTAACTACTCGTATTTCTCGCCCCCGTGCAACTAAAAACCTCCTCCTGCGCTATACAAAAAGTGAAGGACTGCGTACAAGCCCTTGGCAACCTTGCCAGTTAGGAATGAAGCACTTCGTGGCCGTTCGGGGCTTGCATGGATGGCCATCTCTTCAGAATCCCCAGTGCCAGACTGAGAAAGGGCCCGGAGACCACATACCACCTCCATTTTGGTGTCTCATGCATCAGATAACAAAATTAAGTCATTTTCTGGCACCAACAAACAATAATAAAGTTTGATCAGCTGCTGCCTTGGGAGCCTTTGAGCGGCCTGCTCGAGGGAACTTGAACGAGCCACTTCCCCACAGCCGCCTGTCAGGTGCACAAAGCAAACCCAACAGGGAGGAACATTTAATAAAGACACATATGTCCTCTCTCATGTTTAAAACGGGTATCGGAGGTGGGAGAGGCTGATGGCCCCCGGGAGCAGGCCGGGCCCCCCCGGGCC